TAAATTAAAGCTCAAAGCTTTCTCTTTAAAATGATGTATAATAATTGTTGGGTTGGATTGGAAAAATATTGAGAAAAAAAATGTTGAAATAAAACTTACATTTTCGTATAACCTTAGAGTGTCAAAAAAGATGCTAATTTAAAAATTCCTGGAAACCGTATTTATTGAAATTAAGGAATGAGACTTATTTTAAACTAAAGCTGAATGCTTTCTTTTTATAATGATCTGTAATAATCATACCTAATAACCATTTATCAAAGAGATAAATTTTTGACTTTTTGAACAACAAAATTCAACACTACTTTTCACTAAACTTCTAACCTCACATCTGAATGAATAAGTTTAAATATACCTAAAAACCCTACAGTGCGGATTGCGTCATTTTTTATACAGATTCTTTCTTGTATAGTAGAAAGTACCGACAGTTCTAAATGGGCCGAATAGATTACTACAGTTTAAAATGAGTGTTTAAAACTACTGGTACTTTAAAGTACCGTCGGGACACAAAGGGTTAATATTTATTTATTTTTGACTTTATTGAAGAAGCTAAGATGATATAAAAATTAAAAGATGAGTTATTAATATTTATGTATTTAGTTCGGGTCCCGCGGGTCAGTTATCGTCCAGTCAAAACAGATCAAATTCCTATATCAACCTAAAAACAAACATTGAAGGGAAAAGTACTAAACGATTTAATAATTAAATTAGAAAATACCAGAAGTTTGTCATGTTAAGTGAAACATTGAAAGATTTAAAATGACGATTAAAATCTGAAAATGTTATTTTTGGAAAAACTGAAAAACGTGGTTTATTTCAAGACACCACTGTATTCCAATAATATCTTAGAGTAGAGACTCTCTACCCGGGTCTATTTTTAAAACGCAAAGTATCTTCTGCGAGATATATATGCAGATTTTAAAACTTTTTTATACCTGAACACTTCACCATTTAATCTTAATAGAAATTTAATAAAAAATCATTTTTTAGAAATCTTTTATAACCCGACAAAAAAGTGAATTTAAAATCTGTTTAAAATGACACTATTGGCAATTGGCCAGCGTTTATTAACTCATTAATCACGCCGTCACTACAATGTGTTGGGTTCAATGTCAGTGTTCGATCGTTTCAGTAATCAATTCATGAAAACTGAAACTTCTAAATTATTACAAATTTAATTTATCAAAACAAAACATTCATGTGTAATTAAAATTAAAATCAGTTTTAACTATTACAACCCAGCTAATTTTAAAACTACATTTAGGTTGTATTCAAGTATATATAGATTGTCCTTTTCACTTCATCGAGAACGTTAAAAAAAATTAGGTTTACATTCTTGTTTTTAGTTCTTTTATCGCTAACAAAGTTTGTTATGACCACAATTTCCTGCAACAAACGATTTTATTGCCACGATATGATCGTATAATTTGACCTGTTTTGTAAGATTAACGAGTTGCGTTGCGACAAAGCGATTAAATACTGAAAATTATAATTATCAAAGCGTTTAAAATTAAAAACAAAAATTCTCAATGAAATTGCCAATGTTTGTTTTAAAATAATTTTATATTTCAGTTATAATTGTTGTAATATAGTTTTTGGATGATATTTCGGTAATCAAATCTTTGATTTTGAAATGAACGGCTTCTTAAGCACACTTAAAAGATTAGATTAATTATTGATTTTAAAGTGTTTATTACCTTACTTTTTTTAAGTTTTGGTACTTAGAATTTTTTTTAATTAATTAAAAGCTTTGGTTTCAATCGTTTCAATCCAAATTTTGACACATGTACAGGAGGTTGTCAGATGAATTTTATAACCTAAAAAGAACAGGTGATTTCACCTGCTTAAAAAAAGTTAAAATTTCCAGATTTTATTTGAATTTGACATCAATTTACTTTACCGGTAAAAATATTATTTATTAGTCATTCATTTTCCATAATATTTTAATTTTAAGGAAATAGTTATTAATAATGAATCAAATTCATTATTTCTACCATAGATGGCGCTTACGACTATTTCCATTTTATTTTCATTTCCAAAATTTGTGTACTTATTTATGTAATTAAAATACTGAACTACAAAATCAATTAATTTTTAAAATTTTAGATTGTTGTCTTCGTAACAATACATAAAAAAATACATAATTAAATTACCTATAGAAATTTGAGATAATAGATGGCAGCAGGCAGCGATTAAATTTTATAATTAAAAATTTAAAAAAATTCTTCATGAATTTTTCAATAAAAACATAATTAATCAAAAATATATACTGAAGCGATATAAATAAAGAATTTAATTTAATTTTAATAAACCGATCCAAAAATATGCCGAAAAAATATTTTTTTGTGTTGGTGGAATTTATTTGTAATTGGCAATGACAGCTTATCGCAAACAAATCAAACAATTTAAAGTTATGAATAAAAAAATGTTAATTAACTGTGTTAATAACTCAAAATGATCTAAATTATTTGATAGAAACCATGTCAGAAATATCTGGTTGTATTTGGAAATCATCTAAAATTGATGGATTTTGTTTAAAACCTCTTGAAAGTTGTTGAATTATCTTAGAAATTCTTGTAAATACAGTATAACTTGTTCTGTTAGTTCTAGTTTTAGTTATTATTCAGTGCTAGATTGTTGTTTAACATTCGGGTTTAGCCGTGCGTCTCTAGTATTAGATTACGCTGAATTGCTGTATATTACTATTGAACTAAAACTAGAACTAGAGTTGTACATAGTAACAGTGCTGGTGTAAAACTAGAACTAACACTAGACCTAGAACTAGAAACATTCGGGTTTAGCGATGGGGGGACAAAGTGGGGAGGAACGACTGGTATGATGGCGAGTGCAAGAAGGCGAAGAGGGAGGCGAGAAGGAGGTTGAGGCTGTGGAGACGGGGAAAGATAGGGGTGGATAGATATAGGGAAGCCAGGAGAGAATACAGAGAGTTATGCAGTAGAAAGAAAACAGAATTGAGGGAGAAGGAGGCGGCAGAGATTAGGGGGATAACAAGGGAAGGGGAGGTCTGGAGGTATCTGAAAAAAGGAAAGAAGGGTAGGGAGACGATAACCAGCGAAATACACATGACAGAATGGAAGAGTTACTTTATGGGATTATTGGGAGGGGTTGAAACGAGGCTAACGGGGTTGGGAGGATATGAGGGAGATGGGGGAGAGGAGATAGCAGAAGAGGAGATGGAGGCGGTGCTTAGGAGATTGAAGAAGGGAAAGGCGCCAGGTGAAGATGGGATACATAACGAAGCATGGTTGGAAGCATCAAGGGTGGTGCGAGTGAAGTTGTTGGAGGGGATGAATATCGTATGGAGAGGGGGTGGGATTCCGGAGGGATGGAAAGTGGGGGTAATTTGCCCAGTATATAAAAAGGGTAATAAGGGAAGTGTAGAGAGCTACAGGGGAATTAACCTACTAGACTCGGCATACAAGGTATACACGAAGATACTGCTGGGAAGATTGGAGGAGGAGATGGAGTTGGGGGGAATTTTGCCGGATGGGCAGGCAGGCTTTCGGAAGGGAAGGGGAGCAATCGACAACGTGTATGTGTTGAAGCATTTGGCAGATAGAGAGCTGGATAAGAAGGGAGGGAAATTGTACGCCCTGTTTATAGATTTGAAGGCGGCTTTTGATAAGGTGGATAGGGGGAAGTTGTGGGAGGAGATGGGGAGGAGGGGGATAACGGAACACCTAATTGCGAGAGTGAAGGAAATATACATGGAGACGATGGCTAGGATAAAAGTGGGAGATAAGCTGAGCGACGTGTTCTGGACGACGAAGGGACTGAGGCAGGGATGTCCGCTGAGCCCAAGTCTGTTTGCACTGTATACGGCGGACCTGGAGGAAAGATTGGGGAAGGGGCAGATGGGAGGATTGGTGGTGGGAGGTAGAAAGGTGCATATGTTAGCATACGCGGATGACATCGTGGTCATGGCGAGAGAAGCGGTGGAGATGAAGGAGATGATAAAGACATTGGAAAGATATTTTAGGGGGAAGGGGCTGGAAGTAAATGTGGGGAAGACAAGGATGATGAAGTTTTGTAAGGGTGAGAGAAAAAGAACAGAAAACTGGAGATGGGAGGGAAAGGAGATCGAGGAGGTTAGGGAGTATACTTACTTCTGATATGTGTTCAGGGAGGAGTGATAGCTATGGCAAAAAAGGCGAATAAGGTGATGGGACAAGTATGGGGTTGGGGGAAGAGAGTGTTTGGAAGGAATGTGGCAGCGAGGAAGATTATGTTTGAAGGTATGGTTAGCAGTGTGGTGATGTATGGGGCAGAGGTATGGGGATGGAGGGAGCAGGGACCGCTGGAGGACGTGCAGGCTAGATATTGGAGATGGGTGCTTGGGGTGGCGAGAGAAACACCGGGGTATATAGTGAGGGAAGAGGTAAAGGTGGATAAGGTCAGGGTGGAGGCGGGCAGGAGGGCAGTGAAATATGAAGAAAGAATAGAAGGGAGGCCAAGCTGCGGGATCCTGGGGGAGTGTTGGAGGGAAATTAGAGAGGGAAAGGTCAGATATGGGAAAGGACACAGAGACAACTATTATAGACGAGCGGGCTACTCGGTAACGGAGATAAATAGTAGACGAAGGGTGGGTAGGGAGATGTGGAGGGAGTTGAGAGACAGGGACCGAGATGTGCAGAGACAGGAAAGAAGGACACAAATAAAAGAGGGAAGGTATAACGAAAGATACAGGGACATAATTACGGAGGGGCTGCCTAGATACTTGTTATTGGAAAGAGATGAGGAAGGGAAAAAGTTGGTGGCTAGGTTCCGTTGTGGAAACGAGGAGAGAGCCAACAAATACTGGATGGCCGATGAGGAGAGGTGGTGTAGGCTGTGCAGGGAGGAATGGGAAACGTTAGAACACATGCTGAATGGGTGCAGTGAGTTGAGGGAGGAGGAGATGGACCGAAGGCAGATCTTAGGAGAGGGGGGAGAGGGGAAACGATGGATGAGAATGGTGATGGGGGTGAGGAGACAAAGGGATGGGTGAGGGGATGATTGGGCCGAGGAGCCGAGGGCGTGGAAATGGAGGAAGAGGGTAGAGAGTGAAAGTAATATTTGAATAATGTAAAGAATTGTAAACAATTACTGTATACAATAAACTCTTAATAATACATTCGGGTTTAGCCGTCTTGAGAGACGCACGGCAAAACCCGAATGATTCTAGTTCTAGCTCGAGTGTTAGTTCTAGTGACAGTGTGAATTATATTTTGAGTATATTTCCATTGAACTAAAACTAGAACTAACACTAGATCTATAAGTAGCTAAGTGCTGTTAGTTCTTGTTTTAGTGGTTATTCATATAACGGACTTTTGGCTATATCGGACACTCCCTTCGGCGTATTAATCCGTTATACTGAGGTTTTACTGAAATTTGAAATTCCTTTAAAAACATTAACAATATAATATTCCTTTATTGATTTCAATTTAATTTTTATTTAATTTAAATTTCAGGTTGTTTTGGTGTTCATACTCAGTATCGCATCTCTAGTAATATACTTTATAGACGCGTCCAAGTGAGTATAATTACTTGTGTAGATGGTAATTTGAAGTTGTAATTAAATTTTTTGGCGATGCGCTCTATGTGACGACCGATTTATTTATTTTTTTTTCTTTCCAGTGATGGTGTGGAGCGCTGCCAAAAATGGAGCAACAACATAACGCAGCAGATCGACCTTGCCTTCAACATATTTTTTATGGTATATTTTTTTATAAGAGTAAGTTACTTAATTAAAAAGAAATAAGGTGTTAATTCATTAAGATTGTTTTTAGTTTATAGCCGCTAGTGATAAATTATGGTTTATGCTGGAGATGTATTCCTTCGTAGATTACTTCACGATACCACCGTCCTTTGTATCGATTTATTTAGATCGCACGTGGATAGGTAAAAAAGCTTGTTGATACAAGAATCAATTAAGTTAATTCATTTTTTTGTGTTGTTCAGGTTTAAGATTTTTACGTGCTTTACGTTTAATGACCGTTCCGGATATCCTACAATATTTAAACATTCTCAAGACTTCCAGCTCCATTCGACTCGCTCAGTTAGTATCGATTTTTATCTCAGTTTGGTTAACAGCAGCAGGAATTATTCATTTGGTAAGAATACAAAATAAATTTAAAAATATAGAATTATTGTCACGATTTATTGCGATTATTTAAGTTGGAGAATTCCGGGGATCCCCTTGATTTTGACAATCCACAACCTTTACCGTATTGGACGTGCGTTTATTTCTTAATCGTTACCATGTCCACCGTGGGATATGGAGACGTTTATTGTCACACCGTGTTAGGAAGAACATTTTTGGTGTTTTTCTTACTCGTCGGATTGGTAAGTGATTTTTTTCTACTTATTACTTTTTAATTTAATTTTTTTCTATTTTTGTTTTGAGTAAAAACACTTCTTTCTATATTTATTATTTACTTTTTACTCTATATCTTCGTATACATCATCTTCTTGATGAGTAAATGTTACAAAAAGAATTAAGAAAAAAATTTTCTTAAAACAACATTTTTGCCTGCTTCATGCTTAGTTTTTTTAATTATTTCTTTGAGTTAAGTTTAAAAAAATTAAAGAAAATTGAGATAAATTTCCTAGATAGATTTAATCCTGATTTTATTTCTTTTAAATCTTTATCCTCTACTTAACATCCTTCGTGAACTTAAAAAAAATATTGATACACTCTTGTGAATAACAGAATTGAGATAAGAAAAAATATTGTTATTAAAAAAATAATATAGCATGTTATTACGATTTTATGCGCACTGCAGGCTTTTCTGTACTATAATCTTTACTTTAAATCTATTCTTTAAATAATTAAACGTTACGTTAGTTTTCGCTTTTAGCTTATTTAACGAAAAAAGAAAAATCTTAACAAAGAATAATACCTAAATTGTTGCTTACTTCTTCAAACCTTTTTTGTGCTTCCTACACGTTTATTTTATTAAAGTGCACGCTTTAAACAAATCACACTTGGTTGTTTTGTTTGTAGAAAAAAAAAAACATTTACATGCATAGATTATACGTTATTTTCCAGGCAATATTTGCTAGTAGTATTCCAGAAATCATAGATCTCGTAGGAACTAGATCCAAATATTGCGGTGAATATAAAAGGGAACACGGAAAAAGGTATATTTTTTGATACAAAAAAGATTTCATTTACAAAAGGTTCTTTGTTAAAAATAATAATTGCTCAAAATTATTATATTGGAATAAAAATGAAATTCGCGTGACTTATTTTGTTACAAAAAAAATATATAAAAGAAATCAATACACACCGTCCAATTCTCGTTTTCCTTTTAATAATTCACCGAGTATCGGAAGTCGATTTTCAGCTAATAATAACTTTGGAAGTGGTTGGTGTTAAGTATTGATGATAATTTTGAGCAATCGGCGGGATTTTATTTATAAAAAAATAATTTTATAATAAAAGAATTGTACACAAAGTTACACTTGAAGCAACTAAAACTACTAACTAAACGTAGAAAAAACAAAAATTAATCAATGCAAAAGAGGAAGGACGATTTTGCATGCCAATCTAAAAAGTTAAAGTACGTCAAAGGCGTTTTTTAGGACGTTTCAGCCAAGCCACAACACTTTCTTTTCGTTATTTAGAAGCATTTATATTTACACCTTCATCTATACATTTAATTAAATAAAAATTAATAATAGTGTGTTCAATAAAATAAAATTTTAATAAAATATTAGGTTTTACTTCAACAAAATAGTGTTTGGTGGTTAAATAAGATCGATTGAGTGATTCTGCCATCTTCAGAAACATTCGGATTTAGCCGCACGTCTCTTAAGACGGCTAAACCCGAATGATTCTACTTCTAGGTCTTGTGTTAGTTCTAGTGATAGTGCTAGTGTAAAACTGGAACTAACACTAGACCAAGAATTAAAAACATTCGGATTTAGCCGCACGTCAGGATATCTAAAGTCCTCCAGGTGACCCTAGATACGAATATCGAAGTCAAATATCTAGGAGTAATCCTAGACAAAACCCTGTCATGGAATGGACATTTGCAGGGAGTTTTGCACAAAGCTAGACTATCCTTGTGGACTTGTCGCAGTCTTTGTGGAAAAAATTGGGGTCTTACCCCTGAAAGACTGTACTGGCTCTATGTGACTGTGGTTAGACCTATGATCACATACGGAGCAGCAGCCTGGTATAGGAAAGTCCGACAGACTTCAGTTATCAGTAAACTTTCACGAATTCAACGAGTAGCTGGATTGGCAATCTCTGGTGCGATAGGCACAACGCCAACTCTAGCAATGGAGGTTCTGCTTGGCCTATCTCCTCTGCATTTGCATATAGAGAAAGTGGCTAGAACAACCATTTACAGATTTAAGCAATATGCTCAAAACTGTTCCGACATGTCCTACCAATGGGCTGCGGAAGACATTATAAGCACTGATACTGTGCTATCAATGCCGTCAGATTTGGCGGTATCACTATCAGTGATTAATGCTCGATACCAGATTGTACTGCCTGAGCGGCAGTCCTGGATCGAAAATGAAAATTCTCTGGTTCGGGCAGACATTTGCTTGTACACAGATGGATCAAAAACGCCTGAAGGGGTAGGAGCAGGAGTATACTGCCAGACACCTCGAATTAAGCAAGCCTACAGCCTGGGTACGTACTGTACTGTATTCCAGGCGGAAGTATTTGCTATTGACATGGGTGCTAAAATCCTTCTTGAAAGAGGGGTGAAGAACATGACAGTACGAATTTTCTCAGACAGTCAAGCCGCTCTCCAGGCGCTGCAAGCCGTGAAAACGGTGTCGGCTCTGGTTAATGATTGTAAGAGAACATTAAACACACTGAGTTGTGATAACAGAGTCTCTCTGATCTGGGTCCCGGGTCACTCTGGGGTTGCTGGCAATGAAGCGGCAGATAAGCTAGCACGAGATGGCAGCGTTGAAGCGTTTGTGTGTTGGTGTATCATTTGCGATGGCCAAATGTAGGATTGGACTGTGGGCTGAAGAGAGACCGTGCCTACTGTGGACCAGTTCTCCTGGAATGAGACATGCTAAGGTGTTTATTAACATCGCCACTGACAAACCCGCAGTTTATCTCCCCAAAAGATCTGAATGACCTTTCGCCGAGCAAGGTATTAATGTTCGTTAAGAGCATTGGACTGCACGGTGAAATTTGATAACGATATCTATCGGGGTACAATAGATCCTGAGGGTCGCGGTGCAAGGTTGGTTGGTCCGCCTACCCGATATGTATTCTATGTAATGTAATGTAAT